ATTGCACCAATGACACCCTAACTCTCTGGCATACACACCCATTTCTCAAGGTTCCTTATATGCCCATCTGGAGCCAGATGCCACAAAAGCCTTCTAGAAATAAAGCAGATAGGCAGCTGCTCCCTAATCACACTGTGACAAGCTACCACAATTTTAATTCACCTAAGCAAACTGTTTTTTCATCTCCTGGGGCACAGAGCACTGTACTGCAAGCAGTAGTCAGTTAAAACATGTACTAGTGCCAGGAGTTGGCCTCTATGATCCTCATGGGTCCCTTCCAACTCAAGATAAAGAATCGTTAACTATCTTTCAGGACCTTTTCCATAGGCAACTCTTATTTAGATTTGGAAAATAAAAAAAAAACAACAACAAAACCTTTCAAGGCTCAACTACTAAGATGCTCAGCAGCATCTAAATTTGACCATCTAAATGGTCAAAGGTGAAGAGACAGTCATTACTGCCACCCCCTCCCCTCAAACATTCATACTGCAGTTAATCATTATGTGTCTATTAGGCTAGCTCTCTCCTTAACAACATAATTAAAAGCACATTTTTGATTCTTAATTATGCACGTCTTTGTGAATAACATTAATTTTTAGAAAGATGCTCCAAGCCATTCTATCCCAATTCCACCATTTACCTGGATTGAAAGCTGTTTGACACTTCTCAGTGTAAAGAGTTCACTTCATTTGCTAGAAATTGGAAAGTTGGCAAGTCTAAATAAGGGCATAGGAATAACACTGAAGTCAGCAGCAGGATCTTATCCACAGTGCAATTCTACACAGGAAAGAAATCACATTTTCAAACTTGAAAAGGGGAGCTAAGAATACTTTCAGATAGCCCAGCACTCACCAGCTGAGAAAGCATGTTGAGCAAAAGAAGTTGGTTACTTTGCAGCAAAGAAACCTTTTTTTAATGACAGTTTTATGGCTGACTTTAGGGCTGACTTCTGTTGCAGTCTGGATTGATGAGATTTTTTCAGCAGGAGGCTGGAAACTGACTCTGGTTGAATTTATAACACATGTTATAAATATATTAAAATATGCAAACAGCTTAAAAAATTCATTTTACAGTGCTTTTTTTGTCATTATAGAAAACTTCATAACTGTAATACACATTTAGCTGCCAAGAGAAAACAGTTTTGGCAAAAGAACAACCAGCAGTTAACATCCTAGAACCCAAAAATTAGGTGCGTGACATACACAACAGAGAGGAAAAAATACCATTGAAAAGTTGTCAATTTTTCATACTGAAAATCAGTTTATCCTTATGAGTGATATGTTCATAATACATTCCGTTTTTTGCAGTAAACGATACGAAAATCTGATGCAATAAACAACTGAGAACAATCAAACAGTGACAGTTCAGAGCAATTCCTCACTCACATGCTGTTTCTGACCAGAAAAGAGTCTCCATCTTCATGCAAGGGACTATAATGAACAAAACCCACAATTCATCCACAGAGACCAGAATTTGGGGGTCACTTTAACTGCATCTGCTTACATCAGCAATAAACTCTTTATTTAAGCTGAAAGTTCACTTACAAAACTGACAAACTTGAAGAATCAAGACATCTGATGACACAGGACACCAGAATTTACAGCTTCTCAGACATTCTCCTGATTTCAAAGCGCGTTCTACTTGCGGAAAAGTGGAAAATATGATTTTGTTGACAGAAGCACGGTTCATACACGACACCCCCACACACCTGCATCACAGCATTCCTTAATAAAGGCAAAAAAACACTTTTTACAAAGTTATTAATTATGTATTCATTTTTAAAGGTAACTCCACTGACTGAACACTGATTTATAAACACTAGCAGCAGTTTGACAGTTTGCATTTTGATACTTGAGACACACCACACCAAAAGAACACTTTCTACTCTTGTCCAAACCAGTGCAAAAAGGCAGTACCACAAAGCCGTGAAGTAACCTGAGGACTGATGTTTTTATTAGAGATCTAGAACGTTTATTCCAGAGCCTTCTCACCTGCAGTCCAAAATTCAGCAAACCAGCTCCCAGTTCCAAGTTGTTTGTGAGCCAACTTATTTTGATTTCACTCACTCAACAGCTGAGCAGCTTAATATTCCTAAACATTGTTAAGCAGCATATTTTTGCAGACTCATCTGTGGCACAGTCACCTACCTTCAAATTAAAGGAAACTAATGCAAGGGTTGTAATTTCACACATGTAGATGAACTATCAGAAAAAAGGCAATTTTGTTCACGTAAGAAATGGATATTGTGGCATATCCTGCTAAAATACCATTTGGTGAATTAATCCATCTCAAAATGGAGATGAGTGAATACTGGCAAGATTTTAAATGAAGTTTAGGAACTATTTCCTTGATGCAATATTTAAAAGTCTGAATTACTCACAAATTAAGCTATTCAGTAAACTCATCTTTGTGCTTTCTTCTTTTATGACAAAAAACACTTCAAGGGACATTTGAGCACCACTATTTTCTCACAGTACTGTTTGTTTATACATTTCCTAACTGAAATACAATTCAGATCCCATATTCCATTCACTATCATTTAAACCTCTTATTAAAGTTCTGAAGAACTGCCACACGGCAGTTCTTGGGCTTGGCCAAGGGCCCTCGGCGGGCACCGAGACACTGTGCTTTCTGCCCGCGGCTCCGAGTGGGAAAGAAACGGCCTTGTGTGCAGCGCGGGTAAATGCCTACAACTTGAAATGAGAGGCAGAGGTGATGCAGTATCTTCATTTTACGTTACTGTAAATTAATTACATAAATTAATCACCAAACTACTTGCTTTGAAAGGTACTAGAAAGCTAAATTGAGGAGGGATAGAAGGAAAAAAATAAACACCATCTCCAAGTTATAAAAGTCTTCGCCAAAAATAAGTTTAAATTGTAGGGTAATTGTCATTGAAACAATAGAACAAACCCTTCTAAAATTTAAAACCTGTGCAGATCTATATACTAAGAGAATTAGATCCCTGAGTAACATGCTTGTGATCCAGGCAGACAACAGAAAATAGGTATTTCTGAGTTTTATTTTAAACTAAAGCCATAATCCTAAAAACAAAAATGTCATGTGCAGTCTTACAAGAAACTCCATACATCTAAAATCAGAACTCCTTTTCATGAGTATGTTCTCATCACCGAAGTCCATAACTTTGGCTCCAATGTAAATCACATCTAGCAGAAGAGAATTCTTCCTTATTGCAAAGCAGCAGATCCACTGTTAACAAAGGGGCAGAATTGGATTTTACAATGCAATGCTACCCAACAATAGCAGCTGGCCTTGAAAAGGGTTGACCTGAAGACTCTTGCAAGTGTTTCAGAGATTTTTCACAGATGTACTTCAACAGCCTCTGCCCTTCCACATGTGGCCCCTGGACACTCATATAATAATTATATTACCAGCAACATATTGCAAGGAGGCTGCACAGTGGTTTGTGCACTCTGGGACTGTCATGTTCTCAGACTGGGTAAGCCCAAATCATTGATACCAGGGTTTAACTAGTATTCAACACTAAAACAACACATTAAGTCCTACCAGCAGTCTTCACCAGCAGAAGCCCCATCATTTCTTAACGATCCTGTCCAGAAGTGCACAGATTTACATGTTCTGAGCTTTCTTCTTCCCCTATTTACTACCTGCAGAGCAAAAGTAAACAGCATCTACTACTCCCAAGTGCTTTTACTCTACAGGAAGCTGCAACAACTGATTACTGTAGTCATTCCTAAAGTTAGGAGAAACAAGAAACTAAGGTAAACAACTGAGGAAGCAAACAACCCAGTACAGTTTTAAACCTGTAAAATAGATCAGCCAGACTACTGTCTTGGGCTCCAGCTCCTTCCTGATGTATTTAGCTTCAGACTTACTTGGTTCAAGTTCAATGTTATCACTTCACTACACCAAATCCAGCACATATCACAACTCTGCAGCACACCAGAAATGTATTCTGCCAAGCAACTAGCAAAACAAGAATTTAGCTGAACTCCCTTTATTTTTCTCCAGTCATATGCATGGCAAATATATTTTGCCAAGAAAAAGCCAGATGTGTTTTGAGAAAACATGTTCAGGTATTAAGTCTGAGCAGTTCCCTTTGATCAAATGCAAATGCACAAGTGGCAACCAATATTCTAAAAGCATAAGCCAGCAAATCCATCAAATGCATCTCAAAAATCTCTGAATCTGCCTGCAGGTAGGTTCCTTCTAAAGCATTCAGTGAAGAACAAAGTGCCCCAAGGTAGAAACCTTACTTCTCACTAAGTGCTTTGGGGATTTTAGTCAGGACCATCTCTAGCTTAATCCTGTAAACTGGATGCCCATTAGCACCTGAGGGACATCAGGCATGCTGCTGGATTAATCCTTCAATCTAATTTTATCACAGGAATGCAGCTGAAGAACTTTGAGACCACACTGCAGTGTGAAGCAAAGCATGGAAATGCGTATAATTGGATTCACCTGACCAACACACTACTGACCCAAACTAAAAGGCTGATGTTGACCACACTAACACAGCCACAGTTATTAAAGGAATAGTAGTTTCCCCAAGTATTATGAAAAAAATTGTTGTCTTCCCAGATGAATGAGACTATGAGCTTAAATGACACACATGATTACTTGAGAGGCTCATCTCCAAAACTTCCAGAGGGAAAGTTCAATTTAAAAAGTAAAAATAATTCAGCCAATACCTTAAGAGAAAATTTCTTAGAAAAGTCTTGAAATGAAAGCAGCTGTGGTCACCAGACATTGCATTTTCCTATTTAGCTATTTCAACTCAATGTTTTATCGTTTAGAATGCTACAGTTTGGTACCTGTTATAAAATACCCACAGAGACAACATTTAACCACTATCTAGTTTGAAAACCAGTTTTTACTACTTTGTAAAAATCAGCAGCATCTCCTCTGCTGATAACACTTCAATAAACATTAGACAGCATCATGCTTAATAGTTAAGAGCACTGCAGACAGTTTTTCCTAACAGAACTCATACTTCTTTAAAAACCAACCAAAGGAAAAAACTTCACTTGATCTTTATTAATAAAAAAAAAAGTGTTCAAAGGCTGCTATGACATTTAGAACAGTATGCCAGAGATAATTATAAAACAGCAATGAATCTTAATTTAAAAAAAAATAAAAGAACAGCCCCTGTCCCTGGGAGCCAGCTGTGCATAGTTTTCTTCCTGCAAGTAACCCATCGTCTCTCCAGAGGGGAAAAAAATAAAAAATTAAAGGCATCAGTAAATGTAGCTGCCATTTTAAGCATTTCCAACTTACTGGGAAATAACTCACAGAAAGTAATTATAGAGAAGTCAGTGCTGACATTTTTTCTACAATCATGCAATTGGAGCACAAATGGGAATAAAGCACTTTTATTTACACTGAACTCAGTTTGCAAACCCACATGTACATTGCCATCATTTAAAGTGCAAGCTACATGTCTGCTGAATTAACTGAAGGCATAACAGGCGCTATGGGAGATAAAACACCACCAGTAGTTATACGACGGATCCAGCTCCAACCCTGACCAGCTGAGTGTGTTACTGCCTCTGGGATACTACCAGCCAAACACATATTCCATTGCTTTGGATACAATACTTTCATCTTTCCTAGGAGTCTGTCTGTCAGAAACCACCTACAATGGAAGGGAGAAAAAAAGAAGAGAGAAAATAAGAGAGTCAGTCAATATAGCTAATCTTTTTTACACTAACCCATTTTTTCTTCTTTTCCTAAGGACTACTATATTTTGACAAAATATGTTTGAAATCGTTTCAAAACAAGCCCTTAATCCCTGTAAAAGTGACAAATAATTATTCAGTATTTATTATTATTATTATTTTGGAGACTGAACAGACTGAAGCACATCTTTAAAGAAATGACAGCAAAAGATAAAAGCTAAGGTTACATTGAAGTTAATGTCTGTACAGCCTCATACAACCCAGGGGAGACAGCACAAAAACACATGCTTCTTTTTCCCTTAAAATACCTGATAGTCACTAGTGGAAGCTTTATATGCTGTTGCAAGAGGTCTCATTGTAGAAATCCTTGCAGTATTATTTGCAGGTTGTACTGGTGTGCCAGCAGATTTTGTAGGTGGAGTGAAAACCGAAGACACTGAGGATGTAGAGCTTCTTTCAGAGTTTTCCATCACGCTCTTAAGAAGAGGGTTAATATAATGTAAACAAATACTAAAAAGCAGTATTCCAACCTTATCTAAAATTCTCTACTATCTAAAATTGTCTTATAAAATCTATTCATACCCCAAAGATAAATGGCCTGTCAGTAAAGAGCACACAGGTACAGACCACCAGCAAGCATTTTCCTCACTGCAATCATTTGCATGTTGGATTATGCCATTGCAAAGTAGTGAAAGCTTGGAATCTGTTCACTATCTGTACTAAATGTCAACCAAGTTTGAAACAGTGTAGAGAAAATATATTGTACTACTTGCAAGAAACTTCAAGTAGTGACTCGTTTCAGGCCCTGTGGAACAAAGTAGCGTAACACTCCCTTTCTAAATACTTCTAAAATATTTGACCTGATCCAGACAAAACTGTCTCCAAGTCTTTAGCAACTCTCACCTTTTGCTCAGACTCAGCTTGCCAAAGAGTTTCATTCACTCCCTTTAGCAAATGCTAGAAAAGAAGTCAGAAGGCTCCATTTTGTAAGCTTTTGTTTGGAAAGGAATGCATGTAAAATGAAAGAGGCATCAAGTGACTTGATGGGCACCACGAGTTCCACAAGAACCCAGAGAATACATGGTGGGAAATAACAACTAGGCTGGGGAGGCAAATTTTCAGTTCAGTGTACTAATATAAACTCAAAAGCCAGAAACACATGAATAGTCACATTAAAAAGAGAGGGACAATAAGGAGGAGCAGCAACAGTCTTAATCTGCCATCACTTATATATTGCAGCCTCTGAATGCCATAAATTCCAGTTGGGAAACTTCTCTCAGTTGTCTCATGTTACAGTTTCATTTCACTACCTTCAATAGCAGTATAATTCTGTGCATTGCAACTTCCAAGGAGCAGAGACCGCCCACAAATCCTCCTCAGCAGGAAATGTTGACAAATACTTAAGAAAAGAACTCGTGTACTGTGTAACATTCTATACCTATACAGCTATATTCTGCAATTCCAAAAGAAAAAAAATTAAAGAGGTCAGGAAAAACAAAAAGGAAGACCAAAAAAAGAGTGCCTTATATTTAATTAAAAGCAACTCTTAACTTACTTTATCTATACAGGGCTTGACACCAATCATGATGGATTCACCAAAAATTCTTCCATCTTTGCTTAAGGCTTTCCGGGCTTGAAGCTTAGACTGATATCGAATGTGCATCCAGTTTCCTGTGTTGGACATCTGTAGGAGATGAGGTGAAAATTGTGAAATGCAGCTTCTTAAATACATGAGTCCCAATGTTTTCAGAAATAAGTGTCAAACAAAGACATACCACATGCTTTAATATGTTTCCATACTGAGCAAACTGTAGAAGAATGTAGGAAGCTGATGCTTGAGGAAATCTGAAGGACAGAAAAAATGTAAAAAAAAAATTACTAGTAGTTTAAGACTTCAGGTGCTAAAATACAACCCCATGAAGGGTTTAAAGAAATCCAGAAGAGAGCAGTGTGAAACCATTTTAGAAGCAGCGACTTGAGGAATACTACCTCCTAGGCACTTTTACTTCACCACACACCTCCATGGCAGAATGGTGCCTTTCTAACTTGAAAAAAATAACATTTAGCTTAAGTTAAGGTGACTCACTAAAAACTATGTTTGCTTGCTTTAACCACAGTTGTATTTCCTGCACACCTACAAATGCCAGACAACAGCAATGCCCAAGTATTTCCCTTCACATGTCATGAAGCCTTCAGCCAGGTTTTTCTAATAGTTTGGAAATCAGCTTACCCAAATACAGTTACCCATGTGTCATCAAGTTGATCTTCTGAAGTAAGGGAATCTCCTTGAGTATAAAAAGGATCTAGCTGAGCAGGAGACAGAGTAGTTTTCCTAGGCTGCCCAATACTTGCAGGACTGAACACGCTTGAAGCTGTTAAATTAAAATGGCATTGTTGAACAGATTTGTTTTGCAAAACAGATAAGCTCAAAAGTCTATAATAAAAGAATAAATTCACTTGTATATGGAGGAGTCTGATGGAGATTTACTCACAGACACAGACAAAAAGTAAGTCAATCCAAACTTCATATCCACAAGCATGCCACTAAGTCTTTCAAAAAGCTAATAAATACACAACTCCTTTGCAAATTAGTAAGGAATTGATGTAGTTTCAACAGTGATGACTCTTCTGTATTAAGGAAAGCAATAAGAAAGCAGATTATATCTTTTTACAGGACATCTACCTGTGCCTGGAGTTGATGGCAGAATTCCAACTGATGGGCTCTGTGTTAACGAGAAGTTGGCCTGCATTAAAACACAGAAAGTAACAAATCATTCTTACAGGTATACACTGCTCAGATCAAAAGAGATCATTTCAGGTGATTTAAGCATCAGGCAAGAATATTAACTGTTGCCTTAACTCACTGCTAGTTTTTAAGAGTAAGAACATGTATATTTAATACAAGATTATTAAGAGTTACTAATGAAAAGTTATTTGTACTTAAATGTACTTGACATATGCTTTGTGAAGCAAAGTAGCTTTAAGCATCACTACTCAGAAACCTTATAGTTTAGCTTTCTCAAAATAGTCATCTCACTTATTGCTGCAGTACAGTAATTCACACATCCAAGTGTATCCTGATGGGAAGAATGCCAGTATCCTAAGGCACCAGCATCTAATTCTCACTTCCCAAAGGGTTCAGAAATCATGGGATCACTTGTATTCCTCACTACTAGACTCACTTTCCTGCTCAACTACTTAGTGCAACTGCACTGAAGGGAAGTATACTTCAAGTTTTAGCTGTTAGTACTTTTTTTCTTTTTAACACAGGATTTCAACATCCAAAACAATTTTAGGGTATTTTTAACCTGAATCATGGCATTTCTTAGATACAAGACCAAACAAGCTGGAGTGCCTGTAGACATAGACACATGTGTTCTGATAGCTGCTCAATACTTTTTTTTAATTTAACTTCCAGTCTTTTAAGACACTATTGGATTCTGTCTGTCACAGGGAACCTCAGCTTTCAGAACAAACTTTTCAGAAGGCAACATTCAATAGAGAGACTGCTCATTCAGTGAAAAGCATTCTCCTTGCATCAGAAGGATCACGTCCAAGGAAAAAGAACCTAATAATGCTTGACTACTCACTTGAGGTAAGTAGCAGAGCTTATTATAAAAATTATCTTGCAGAAATTTTAGTGTTACTCTTTCAAAATTAACCCCATCTTCCTACCCAAATTTTGATTAGATGTTTTACTCAGAGAAAAATTCCTTCTATTTCAGGAAGTGCCTCTATTGCCCACTAAAAGATAATCAGAGAATTATCTAGGTTGGAAAAGACCTCTAAGACGGAGTCCACTAACGCAGCACTGCCGTCTTCACCACTAAACCATGTCCCCAGGTGCCACATCCACATGTTTTCTGAACACTTCCTCGGATGCTGATGCCAACACTTCCCTGGGCAGCCTCTTCCAATGCCTGACAGCCCTTTCAGTGAAGAAATTTTTCCTGCTATCCAATCTACACATCTTCTGCTGCAACTTGAGGCCATTTCCTCTTCTCCCATCATTTGTTATACCTGGAAGAAGAGACCAACCCCCCTCTGTCTACAGCCTCCTTTCAGGGAGTCGAAGGGCCTTTCTGGCAATCAGCAGCTCAATAAATTTACAAGCAGGTGAAAATCTGCAACAAGTCTGGATTTGTACACACAAAGCACAACTGAGGCATGACTTGCATTTCTCACTCTCTACTGTAACGACAGGAGTTCGCTTCATGACAGCAGCTCTCAGTTAGTGTGCACAGCAGTAGGCACACCAAACACAGCACGAGCAGAAGGCTCACCCATCATTTTGCTACAGCAGTTTACAAACCCAGGCTGAAGAATTCGCTGAGGCAGGAAGCTGCCCCACATCTTCTGCTAAGAACGGGCCAGTACCAAAGACACTTACTGGTCTTCCTGAGGTTAGAGGTGTTGATCCAAGCCCAGGACTGGACAACTCATCATAAATGCTCCTAACGGGTGGAGCACCGCCTTTATCTTTATGTGTCGGGACTACTGGTTGTGGGGGAGATCCTCCTGCAGTTCAAAGGAACAAAGGAAGAGCATGAGAAGACTTGCCACTGTACTCCACTGCTACTTGCTTTTGAATCTTCAGTGGTAAATTCAGCCATGAAAAAAACTGTTGGTGGTTTTCACTGGGCATTTGCAAGACCATCTGTTCAGGTTTGAATGGTCTACATAACAGTATCACATGTGTTAAACTCCATTCTTACATCTAAAACTTTTAGACCTCTTCTTAACCCTTTATACTCTCTGTTAACGTGCACTTGTTCTTTTTCTGAAGTTCTGAGCATACATCTAGCTACAATGAGCATACAATAGCTACATCTTTCTATTTTAAGGCAGGTTAGCAGTGTATTTTAATTGTTTCAGACACTAACTTGCCTGTAGTAGAGATGCAAAAGCAGGATTTTTAAGACTTGGGACGTACTACATGCTAAAGAACCATATCAAAATGCACACAGATGTATTGCACGTGATTGTCACATTCCCACTGCCTAAATTCCTTGGCTTCCCATCTCATTTCACATTAAAAAAAAAATGTAAGTAAGCTCTTGATAGCAGGGACTAGCTTGCTTTTAGACAGGATGAAGTGAAGCCAGCTTCCCTCCCACAAACTTTGGGACTTCCAGTGTAACAGAGAATTAAACTGACTGAGAGAACTTGAGGTATCTCTAAACACTTCGTGTGGGTTTACCTCAGGAAAAAAAACCCCAGTTTTCACTTGCAAAACATTTAGAAACTAAGCTTTCCCAAAGTACTTTTCAATCCTAAAATTCTGAGCTTCAAGACTCCACTCTGAAGTGTTTAACACATACAAGAACTGCTACTGTTACACGCAATAACTGTACATTATATAAAGCACTCTCCCATCAAGGTTTTCAGTTTTAGTGATGTATTTAATCACTCACTTTGGTAAGCCTGTGTTAGTACCTTACTGTTTCCTCCTTTTCTAAAACTGATACTTTGAGACTGTAATAAAGCCTTTTAAAATCAATTGGGTGAAATCACATGACCACTTTTGATGTCATAAATACTTCCCTAAGAGGTTTGTACTTGATGGGGTCAGGAAGGCAGACAACAGCAAGAAGTAGGAGACCAACAGACTAACAATCACAGAACATTTTAAGTTGGAAGGGACCCAGAAGGATCATCGAATCCAATCCTGTCTGCCATCCAAAGAAGAGAATATCTAAAATTCTCTTGCAGTACCTTAATCCTCAACTTCTCCTTCAAGATGACTATTAACACCATCAGATATTAAATTATGCCAACTGATTTAGTCAAAAAGCTAAGATCACCCATGATGTGTTAACTACTCATACTTCTCAGAGAAGAAAACAGACATAATAATAGCAACTTAAAACCATGGGTAAGAGCTCTTCCCAGTCTAATCAATCAGGTCACTAAAAAGAAATGAGTATCTACAGCTAGGAAGAGTCAATGCTACTTCAGTTCAATGACAGCAGACATCAAGACTAACTACAACCACTAGATAATTATTAAGAAGCATTTTTTTAGTTTCTCTCCTCCCAGCTTTTACAAGTCTGACAATCTGTGACATTTTAGAATTCACTGCAAAGAAACCAGCAGTTTGCACGTGCTGCATTTAGTTTGCCAGTAGACATCTGTTTTATTAAATAAAGAGAAAACACTAATAGCTGTACGTGCAATTGACTTGTAAAGAGTTGTATAAATTGATTCTGTATTAGCAAATATTTATATAACCTTCCATGTAAAACAAACTTTATCTTGTACCAAAACTGCCATTTTTAAAACAGCTATTAAACTGAAGACTAGTTTGAAGAATTTAGCCAAACTCCATCGAATACACTTGAGTTCACCAGTTATTCAATCAGTGGAATTTGTTTATGGCAAGTTATAAAACTGTAAGGATTCCAGGCCACAACAGTCAAGCAGAACGACAAGACAAAGCAATTTCTGACTTTCAGGACAATTTTTCAGCATTTTCAGAATTCTGACCTGCAAGTAGCGGAGACCTCGTTTCCATTACTCCAACTGAAGGGCCGCACAAAGCACGTGGCTGTGGAGTCACTGGTGCAGGTAAGTCACCCATCAAAAACCCGGGAAGGAACTGAGCACCAGCTCCTTGTTTGGGAGATGTCGGGGAGCCGAGAGTCATTGGCTCAGCTCCTGAAAACAAAATGTAAAACCAGGGAAAAGAAAAGTGATCTAGTTTTTTTTCCAACTTTTTGATTGTGGCTCTGGTAAAGAAATGTAACACAAGATACAGCAAGTGATTAAGATCACAGAATGGCAGAATCCTTAGGATTGGAAGGGGCCTCTGGAGATCATCCAGTCCAAGCCCTGCCAGGGCAGGGGCACCTGGAGCAGGTGACACAGGAGCGTGCCCAGGTGAGTTTGGAATGCCTCCAGAGAAGGAGACTCCGAGACAGCCTGTTCCAGTGTTTTCCCACCCGCAAAGGAAAGAAGTTCTTCCTCACATTGAGGTGGAACTTCTTGTGTTTTAGTTTATGGCCATTGCTCCTCATCCTGTTCTCATTGCCACCGAAAAGAGCCTGGCACCATCCTCCTGACACCCGCCTTTGAGATATTTACATGCATTAACGATTCCGAAGACGGTTCTAATAATTCATTTTGCAAGTTTCATAAGCCAAGTTTACCACAACCTTGCATTTTTCGCAACCACGAGCAGCGGACGCTCGGTTTAACTCCAAGCCCGTTCCGCTTCACCCCAGGGGGAATCTCCCCGTCCTGGCGCCGTCTCCCACCGCCCACTCCAGCCCGGCGGCATCCAGACTCCTCCCGGCCCGGAGCAGGGGGTCAGCGCCGACCCCGCTCCCTTCACCGGGACACAGGAGCGCGGGTGGTGCCGGGGGACCCGCCGAGCACGCCCTGAGGCGGCGCCCGGCACAGCGGCAGCGCGGGGGACGGCCCGCGGGCCCGGCTCACCTGCGGGCGGCGGCTCCATGGCGAAGGCGGCCATGGCGGCCCGGGCGGGAAGTAGGAGGCGGCGGCGGCTCCGCCAGGCGCTTTCAAACGGGACGGAGCTTCCTCCCTCCGTCACTTCCGACCCGCCCCCCGCCATCTTGTGCGGGAAAGGGGCGTGGGAGCTCCTTCACGGGGCCCGGCATATGCTCGGGCTCGGCTCTCCCCTCACGGCTTCCCGGCAAACGGCTTTTCCCCCCTACCCCCCCCCGCGAAGGGCCAGGTCGTGAAAAAAAGAGTTGAAAGAACCGCAGTTACCGTTACAAGAGCTTGTGCTGCGTTGTTTCCACGGGCTGAGAACTCAAAGCTGCCACCCTGACTCCCCGGGGAAAGGGCTGCGGTCACTGCCCGGGTTGCCACAGCCCGCCGAGCCCGGGGTACAACGCTGCGACCGCTTCGCTGGCGGACAGGGGAACGGTGACCAAGGGACTGCGATCAGATGCAGAGGGGTTGCCTAAACCTCGCATTAGCGTTTAGCACAGTGTCATGGGATGGTTTGGGTTGGAAGGGACCGTAAAGATGATCTTCCACCCTCCTGCCATGTGCAGGGACACCTTCCTCTAGCCCAGGTTGCTCCAAGCCCTGTCCAGCCCGGCCTTGAACACTTCCAGGGATGGAGCAGCCACAGCTTCTGTCGGCAACCTGTGCCAGGGCCTCACCTCAGGGAAGGCCACCCTCGGGGAAGAACTTTTTCCTAATATCTAATCCAAACTCACTTTCTGTCAGTTCGGATCCATTCCCTTTTGTCCTGCCACTACACTCTTGAGCATGAGCAATTAATATTGAGAACACATGGTGTGTGGTTCAAACACAATGGCATGCAAAAGTTCAGACTATTGGTACCAAGAACACCAATCTTGAAACCAAACCTTTCAAGTCACTTCAGCATACAATTTATCCAAACACAGTGTCCTTTTTATTTTACTGCATAATAATATATCAAACCATTAAGAACTGGCATGAAGGCTGCAAAAAATACTATTAAAATCTTTTACAGATTTTGCGTGTGTATTGAACGTGCCATCTTAAGACAGTAATTCCAGCCTGAGATGTCTCAGGAGCGCTACAGTTACCTATCCAATGATGTCCATTCTTTACATATGGTGCAGAATGGAGTGAGGGAACAGCAAATGTGGACTGAATGTGAAGAAAAGGCAATAGCAGTGAGCAGATAGGTTGTTATCAACATTTTTCATATCTCCACCAAAATGATTTACAAAAAAAAACCTCTGCTGGTTCCAGCACTTTGGAAACATCATGTTAGTGCACTTCAAATTTCTACTTGATGAGAAATGGTAGAAAAGACATGAAGCATGAAAGCATCCTACACATTTTGAGCATCCTCAAAAGACCATCTGTTTTAATTTCAAAAAAAATTTAATGGCTGGCTAGCCCACAAAAATCAATAAAATCCTCTTTACTTGCAATATAAATTTAAAATCCAATATCAAGGTACTTCATTATATGAACATTTTATTATCTAGATTTTACAACCGAATAGAATGCATACATTTGGAAAGTAAACAGGGCAACTTATCTCAGTTATTTTATTGTCTTTCTCGATTGCCTACATTTTCTGATGTATCATAAAAAAACCCACCATCGTTCTGTTGTCTTCTACTATTTCAAGGAAAACTGAACTTTATCTTTCTGTTAGCACTCTAAGAAGAGCTGGTTCTTGGGCAAAACTTCTCTGAAGTCGGTGGAGTGGCATCTGGCCTATAGATGACATGCTGAAAGAAATAGGGTCAAGGGAATGTAAGAAAAAATATGTAATGACTCAAAAATGCACAAGTGAAAAGGGGATTGCAAAATGACAGATTAAAAGATATCCAGCATCTGTGCCTGTGGAGTCAAAACAGATTGTTTCCCTTCTCCCTTTTGATCAGTCATGATCATTTATGCTTCCATTTTCTTTTACAATCTGTTCTTGGTATTTGTGAAGCTGCTCCATGAAGCCAGGATTTGGACAAGCTGCAGGCCTCGCATTTTTCACCAAGGAAAAGGCTCTGGCAAAACTCATTCTTTCTGAATTCATTAGAAAACCAATGACTACAGCCGCTGCACGGGAGACTCCTGCATTGCAGTGGACCAGCACCACGCCATCCTTCAAATAAGAAATTAAACACAAGTTGGGATATTCATTAGGCGGATAAAAACAAGTATGTAGAAACTTTACATAAAAATCTATTAAGACTTACTGAAAGCTCCTTGCTGAGCTCAAAGCAAATATTTATACATGTAAGTAAGTCCAAACACAGATATATAAGCCCAAAATTAAGTATTTTTCTAACCAAAGCCACTTTATAATTACCAAATACTTCAAATTTAATTCATGACTTAAAACTAAAAAACATCCCTCTGTCCTTTTCCCTGAGTCCTTACAGGAGCCCCTTCATGTAAAAACCAAACCACAGACTCCCGAGATACTAAGATATCTGATCTAATTGGGTGCCAATTCTAAAATGGATTTTATTTGCAATATGGAAAGGAACTTGACAGCATCTTGTTAAAGGTTAAAAACATAGCAAGGCAGCAAACAGCTGGGCAAAGAGACAGATTTTGGAATATCTTGTAGTTCCAGTCACACGCTTCTTTAAAAAGACACTGCAAGTTTCGTTAAGAAGTAACGAGCACGAATTAACACAAAGACAGCCAGACAATCTAGTGTGGCTCAGGCAATGTTTGCAAGGCCCAGGCTTCATAACATTGTCATGTTTGTACATCAGATTATGCCCTGGAAAAGGCTCCAAACTGTCTGCCAGATGCCACTGTGACACAAAAACACACCACCAAACCCACAGCACCTCCATATTCTGAATGAAGGTACTGAAACACGACATGATTTGCTCAGATACTTGAGAACTAAGCATATCCATTCTAGATATAAACAGCCTGCTCTGTCTGCCCTTAACAGGCACAGATTATTTAAGGAGCATTTTAGCTAGTGACAGAAAGACCAATGAGTGACAAAAAGCACCAGAGTTCCTTTCCAGGAACTCGATGGTTTATGTTACAGAATTGGGAGCTGCAAATTATCTGGTCTATTAATAAACACACAAGAGCAGAAAATGGTTCCTGCTCCAGAAATCTCCCAGTTTAAGTAACAAGACAAAGCAGGAAATTGAGTATTATTATTCATGTTGGAAAAATGCCAAGCTGAGACTAGAAGAATGACTTGCACCACAAGATTATGGCAGAGCTAGGAACTGAGTCTAAGCTCCTGCATCCCAATGAATCACAATATCATCATTTCTTGCAATGAAAATCACATTCCCTGTGCACTGCCTGCTGGAAATTGCACTCTTCATTCCCTTTCTCACAGTCATAGGGCCGTGATTCCTCATCGCACAGACTATAGCAGAGTGGGAAGCAGACCTGTCCAGGTATTTCAACTACCTGAGGAAGTGTCAGTGGTGACCTGTAAACCAGAACAATGACATTAAAAATTATGCCACTGCTAATGAATCAATTGCTGAAGCTTATCTACTGTAAGTATGGAGCAGTTTTTACTGCTTTAATGGGAGTTATTTCAGACATAATGTACCATAATCAAGATCAATATCTAGCAGTGGCACTAAAAGTAAATAATACACATGGGAAGTGACCTTTGGCTTTTTTCCCTTTGTACAGTTCATGCTTTGTTTTCCTCTTTCACATATAAGTTTGATTTGGTTTTTTTAATAACTGTTCTGTTTTACATTGTCAAAAATTATTTAGTGACATCCATGAATCCTGAAAATTACTGAACATGAATGAACAAGGGCAATAACATTAAACCAAATTTAACACTAAGAACTTTTATCTTTCCTTTTTAAACCCCATTGTTTACAATTCATACAAAGATGAATTCGACATGTCATTCTTGACTAGTTTTGTATTTGCTATGAATATGAAATAAAGTGAGAAACAGATTGCAGATAGGAAATTCATCTCTATTTACCAGGAACTCCTCTCTGACTCTGGTAAACTTTGCCTACCAAGAAATGGTCTGTGGTCTTGCAAGAACATCTTTTAAAGATTCAAGACCAAGTTGGGGTTTTTTTTAATTTTTTATAGGGAGGGAAACGAAATCACTTTCCACCAACAGAAAAAGTGATTATACAATGGTTATGTACAGTGGGCAAAAGCCTTACTAAGGAAAGAAATTAAAAAGAAGCATAAAGCTTTAATGTAGTTAGTTATGGATCCATTCTACTTTGGAGTGGAACCAAGTATTTTTCGTTAGGAAAGACAGAAAGAGCAATAAGGAGAGATGTTCATGAATAAACAGAGGTTTCCTCCTTGGAAACAAAAGATTTTAGAGGTTTTATATTAGATATTAAACAGAAATATAAAAGAGCAGTAGCACTATGGCCTGACATGTGTCACCTAACATGTCATGGAAAACCTGCCTGCCAATTTGGAGCTCAGAAGAAAAGGTGAGCTCTGATCGGTATCAGAATTTGTACCATGGTGTTGACAGACTTGAGCCATTACAGTTTCAGAAAAGTTGATCCAGTTACAAGTACCAGCTGGCAGTGACTTAAGGAACAGTGCAGGCTTCCCTTGCACCCTCAAATTCAAGTGCTCTCATACTCTCTCATTGAGTTAATCACGTTCTAATAATAATTTCTCATATATCACACTCTCTCACCAGTGAGCTTCTCTCCTTGTCTCATATTAGGAGATGAAGCACTAGTATCTCTGTGATTGCTTGAACAGAAGAGCACTTCACGACACAATTTATCATAAGCCCTTTTAACCCTATTTTGACAAAGCAAATAAAGTGATTCAAGCCACCCAGAGATCTGTCTCTGCATACCACTATCACATGCTCTGTGAACTGATCCTGGAGAACAACTATTCCACCAGTTACCTGCTCTTTCACCCACCTCTCCCATTAGAAAACTGTTAATATTGCTGTAAAAGTTTTCCTGAAAACTTCTTAGCTTACAAAATAGTAACCAGGACATAAACACCAGAGGCAGAAAGCAAAACTGTGCAGTTATGAATGGCAACTCTCATTTAGAAATGAAGTGGAAACCGTAACTAGATCCCTTGAAAAGGTCATTAAGTGACAACGTGTATCACATAGCTCATAAATGATAAATGAGAGAAGGAAAGAACACTGCAACACAAAGAAAGCTGGGACAAGATTATCTTCTTTTATCCCAACCTACATGAATAATGAAGTTGGTAGATATGGTGGAATAACATGCAATAAGGTTTGGTTGTCAAGCCAGAGTTTTCACACCAAAGCGATGGTTGTTGTAAATTACACAATAAGCCTGAATTTAACAGCCGTGAGTCAGGGATGCTCCAGGTTACAGACAACTCTGCCAAGCAACCCCAGAAAGAGTCCCTTCAGCCCATTTCCCATGTCACATCTTTTTCAGGATTTTGGGAGCAGTTAAATCACTTGTTGGCTCCAAGACTGCTAACACATGCTCTGACATCCCTGGTATATATTTGGATTCATAGCTCAGCGTGTGGTATCTTCTTTGAGAACCTGGTCTAGTGGGAGGCGTCACTGCCTATGGCAGGGGGTTGGAATTACATGATCTTTAAGGTCACTTCCACCACAAACTATTCTATGATTCTATGATGAAAAGTTCAAGGATGGTGACCAGCTGATGCCAAACCACACAGATCTGTAAAAGCCCTGTTAGGCTTGCTTCTAATCCAAAACAACATCCCTGACAGATAAGTAAGTTTTCTCCTTTTCCCTCTGCCAGGGGTAGTGACTTAGGATAGGATTTCTTTATCTAAAGTCAGCCACTGCTCCATCTGTATTAAAGAAGCATTCCTCTAAAACTCAAGACAGTCATTCTGAAAAAAGCATTGCTGGAGGGAATGGAGATTAACAGCAGTGTCACGTTTCTAGGAATGCTTAGAAATTGCCTGGATTCTCTATTTAAAATTTTAAAAGGCAATGGCAAAGCTATTCATTTGGTAGCATATTTTCTTTCGACAAAAGAAGCTGCTTAAGTTCTTAAAATAGTGTAATAAATAATGTGAACAGGATAACTACTAACATCAATTATTGGTATACCATACCTGGATCTTGGCTTTCTCAATAAACTCAAAACATTCAGGGAAGTAGGAGGTAATATCAGTTTCTGGGAGGTCCAGAATAGAAATGGTCTTGTATATAAAATCATTGAGGAAGGCATTTTGGACTCCATATGCCACATTTAGAACGTGAGTAACCTAAGTCAAAAAAAAAAAAAAGAAAAAAAATGAAAAAAGCATTTTCTGAAAACAGCAAGCAAAATGAGCAGTAGCAAAGGTTAATTATTCTTTAGGCATACACAGACTGTATCTTACACAGCTGGAATGTTCAGTTTTACATACATATGCTGCCTATGGTGTGGTTTTCTCCAAGCAAAGTTTCAATGTGTGCTAAAACACACTGTCAGACATTTCAGGGTTTTTCTGAGAGGAAATGAAAAATCAGTGCTCAAACAAACACAGACTAAAATACAGATTTTCAACAGAAAAGGGAGTTGTCAGCATGTAGATGGCAAATAAAAGAGGAAGCAATAGGAACAAAAGCACAGGCCACCCAACAATTCCCCAAATTTCAAGCCTGCCCTGACCCATCAGTTTAATGTTCCTTCTGGTGAGTTACTAGAACCATTTACTGGAGCAGAAGGATTTCAGAGTAAACTATACCTGCCCTTGGCAGACAAGACCACCCTCTGGCCTCCTGCCATCTCTGCTTTGTCCAGGCTACAGCCACTTTTTAACTTACAGTGAAGTGACATTTAGATAGCACCAGATCCCAGCCTGGTGCACTCCCTGTCCTGCAGGAGCACCACTGTCCGAAGGCCTTATCACCCCATTACTGTAACAGAGAAGAGTAAAAAGACCAGTTTGGGACAGACTTTGAGCTTTGTTTTTCCAGTTTCATCAATACCCATAAGGCAAGGAGGGATGGTGCTGCTTAGTGTCTGAAATGTAAACACATATAGCAATGCAGGAATCTGTTCCATTAACAGCTCTAAACAATCATCACTTTTGCAGCAAAGCAAGACTCTTTTCAGTGGTGCCCAGCACCACAAGGAGCAATGGCCATAAACTAAATCTCAAGAAGTTCCATCTCAACATGAGGAAGGACTTCTTTCCATTGTGGGTGGCAGAACAGGCTGCCCAGGGAGGATGTGGAGTCTCCCTTTCTGGAGACATTCCAAACCCACCTGGACACGTTCCTGTGCCACCTGCTGTAGATGACCCTGCCTTGGCAGAGGGGTTGGACTGGATGATCTACAGAGGTCCCTTGCAAGATTCTGAGATTCTGTGAAAGCATTTCAACTTCCCGTGAAGCTCACAGGCATTCATCCATCTGCAAATGGAGCAGCCTTTAGAAAATGAGAATGGAATACAGTTTTTCTCAGAGCTGCTAAGAGAATATTTTAGGATTTTTAACTTAAGAGACACCCACTGGGCGCACGGCGCGGGATGCGCGTTTGCACGTCCGCGCAAAGTTACCTTGTGCTTTCTCATCGTCTCCAGGTCGTGAGCAGCATCCTGCGACCCTGCAGAGAAAGGACATGCCGCCGGTTGCTGCGCTGAGCCCCCCGCCCGGCCGGCGGCCCCGGGCCCGCCGCCCGCAGCCCCACTCACCCAGCAGCAGCCAGGGCTTCACCACCCCGACCTGCAGGTCGGCGCTCAGGTCCTGCACGAAGCCGCCGCCCGGCGCCGCCTCCGCCTCCTCCTCCTCCTCCACCTGCAGGCAGGCGCCGCGCCACGTCTCGATGATCCTGCGGCCGGTCAGCGTCGTCACGCGGGTGCGCTGCTTCCGCAGGTTGGCCCTGGAGAAGCTGCGGATCTCCTGGGCGAGGGAGTGCATGGCGCGGCCGCCGGCTCCGCTCCGCGCCGCCCGCCCCGCGCTGCCGACGCGCCCTCCGGGGCGGGGCCTCGGCGCGCAGGGACCCCCCCCGGACCGCCCCGGACCGCCCCGTCCCGTCCCGTCCCGTCCCGACGGAATTAAAGCAGCCTGCGAGCTCGGAATGCCTGTGCTCTGTGTCAGCAAGCCATGCAGCAGTGCCTGTCTGTCTCTAACTGGGACCTGCTTCTTGGGAAGCGTGGGAAAACATTGTAAGGAGCTAAATGGAAAATATCAGAATGAAATACTTTGGGTATTTTCCCCCGGAGTATCGGACTAGAGTATTCTCCGTAGCATACTATTTGTAGTGTTACACAGCTGGTACATAGTATTAGAATCATAGAATGGCCTGGGTTGGAAGTGACCTTTCAGATCACCTAATTCCTACCCCCTACCGTGGGCAGGGACAGCTTCCGCTAGACCAGATTGCTCAAAGCCCCATCCAACCTGGCCTTGAGCATTGCCAGGGATGGGGCATCCACAGCTTCTCTGGACAGCCTGTGACAGTGCCTCACCACCCCCACCATAAAGAATTTCTTCCATATATCTAATCTAAATTTCCCCTCCTTCAGTTTGAACCCACAACCTCTTGTCCTGTCACTACAGTTCCTGAGGAAGAATCCCTCTCTGGCTTCCTTTTAGGTCCCTTTAGATACTGGAAGGCTGCAGTAAGTGTGTGAAATATTTGTTTGTGAAGTTGGATGATAACACTTAAATTCTGCCAGAAATAGATTTCAATTTGTTAACAATCCTCTGTGCTGGCTCGTAGAATAAGGACATATTATTACAGTACTTCCCCTCTTATAATATTCCTCAAATCTACGGTGGAAGGATATGAAGACTCTGAAAACATCCTCCTGATAGTTCCCTAGCATGCTGTACAGAACAAAGCAACTTAGTTCCATGTAAAGAGGTCTACAAATGCCTTGTCAATTCAAAAAGAGGAGAATGCTGTTAGGAACTGCAAGAGTATGAGTTATTTCCAGGAATGCCAGAGGCAAATGTCCTAACAGGAGTAGACATAAAATTAAGATCATCTGAAAAAGGCAGAATACCCCACACAATGTCTGCAGAAGCAAGAGTCTAAATCTGAGATAAAATCAAGGAAGATGCTTGGGGTAGGGAGAGGAACAGAAAAGAGATCTCTCTGCTTCCCTCCAGTACCTTTTCACCCCCACTCCCTGTGACAGGCATCAGGGAATCACGGAGGCAGCAGATGGACTGTGCACGGGAGGCAGCAGATGGGCTGTGCACGGTTCCCTCGAGCACAAAACAGCATTTCTGTGCTCGTTGTCAGGCCCTTAAATCGCACACTGTTCTCTCAGATTATTTTCAAACCCTGCGTTGGCCGTGGGGGCTCAGACGAGAGATATTTGAGTATCACAAAGTGGGAGCAAGGGCTGAATTAAAGTGGCAAGCAACTGGATTGAAACGAAATTCTAGGTGGAAGTCGTCTGCACTCATTTTTAATGAGGGTTGATTTTATTATTTTCAGTGAAAGCAGTGACCTCTACTAGAATTGAACGAGGCATTGGTTGGGTACAGAATGTTTATGGGGTTTTTTTGCTGTTTTCCCCTCACTCACCAAATTGACTGGAGTAGTTTGTTTATTCACAAAAGCTAGACTTAAGAAAAAAATCTGTAACACTCTAACATTAAAGCGTAAAATATGTATTCAAATGTAGGCTAAAGAATATAAGTTCCAAATGAGTTTATTATCCTTAACGTTTTTCTGCCACAATTCAAATAAATATAATGCATTAGGTCCTTATTGAATGCACTACTACTTCTAAAAATTCAATTTGCTGTGCAGGATTTTTCCCAAGTTACGTTAAATAATGTCAAGTTTAAATCTGTATGTGAGTCTACAGAGATCACCATGCAGATGGACCTGTGGAAAGCCAAAGGAAAGATTTTCAGAAGCACACTGGGTTTAAACTAATTTGTTTAATTTGTTTTTCTCCTGTCTCCAGTGTTCAACAACTTTAACTCCTCAGATATTCAAAGTTATTTTGGAAGTGTTTATCATACAGAAAGTGGAAATGCTGCCTGAACAAAAGGATTGTTATTTCAAGAGAGGAAGAAGGTGATGGAAGGGACAAATTGTGGGAACAAAGGAAAGTACAAGTTCGTTATCACATGAATTCAGTCTCACCCTGAGTGGTTTTCCTCTGAGCATGAATCCAAGCTGTAACAAAGAGTTTGCTTTTCCCAGTTTGTCCTCCTCTTGCTGCATGAGGAAATTACAGCAACACAATACAGGGTCTTGTGCATCTTCATTGGTTTTGGTACATAATAGCAATTTAAAGGCTTTGCTTTTCATAATTTTGTCAGCAGACGAGATGGAGAGTGTAAAAAATCTTGATTTCAGTGATCCCTTGATTTTTTTTTAAGTGATCAGAGCTGTCATAACACTCACTCTGGTGAGTGTTAACTGGTGTTAGAGGAAATTTCCTGTATTTTGGGAATTCTCTCTAGATCAGTGCACTGAGGGTATTTAGAAAATGCTTGAGCTGAGATTTACCAAGGTCCCGTGGTTAGCCAGTAGCCAAGGGCTGAGGGCTGCTCCTAAGGTATCCTGTGGATTCCTGTGCCATTGTCCTGCTGCCACAATGCAAGGAATGAGAGAATAACCAGTCAGGAGAAATAAACTTTGCAGAGACTTGCAATGCTTTGCTTGATGTGTAAGGACAGAGGGTGCATTTGAGCCTGTCCAAGCACCAATGAAATGCAGAACCTGAGTTCATACCTTGAAAGGGTAAAGTAATTCCTGTGTTTGGAAAAGGTATTTTGTTAAGGTGTTAAAAAAAGTTCAAACTGGCCTTTTCAAAGGGGTTTAGGCATCAAGATGGTACTAAGTGCATCAACAAATATTTGCATTGATTATTTTAGTTATTTGTTATATATTTTTGAAATAGTATTTACAAATCAATATGAATGTTTTCAATTCACTGGAGTCTTTCTTAATTATTTAGCATTTCAGTGTGACAGGCTGTAAAGTATGTGAACAGTCACAACATTACTGCAGTCAGTTTGGCAAACGTATGAATAAACTGGCTTATGGAAGAGTCACACCCCACTTGCATTTCAACCTGAGGGTGTTACAGTGAATGAGAACAAGCTGCAATACTTGTAGAAACAGCAAATTTCAAGCAAACCATGAGAGAGAAGAATTTTCCTGCTAAATATGATTTTTATGGTCAATGCAGTGCTTAAGAGCCAGGACGTATAGCATGTTGCTGTCTACTTTTTTTTTAATATTAACTTAAAATGGCTCAGATTTTGAACAGCCCATCTCTTAGTTACTGGAGATGCTTCACTGTCTCCTAATGAACACACTCCTGGAGTTGAAAACGTTGCTTTACATAAGTATTTATATATTCTGAACTCAGCTGTGAATGCTTTTTTCCCCCAGCACTGAAAGACAGCAACCACAATTGACTTGAAATGGGTTAGTTAAAGTGACCTGATACAATTTTGGCTTGTTTACTCAGCAAGAAGTAAGCATGAAGTCTGGACTGAGGGATGTTCCACTAATACATTTGAAAATGTGCATTTGACAGTTGAAATTATGTATTGTGAGAGGACAACATAAACAGAGATGAAAATCAACATGTAAATTACCAGCTATGTTTTATTTTGTGAGTTTTTGTTTAACTCTTTTGCAGATATAACTAGTAAATCCTTGTATGTGCATAGATTAGCATTAGGAATAAGTGCCAAAGTCCATGCTGTCATTATGAATTTGGATGCTGAGCAGGATAAATGCACGTTTTCCTCCTACTACTGTGTTTTCCTATTTTTTTTTTAATTATCAAAGATTGAGGAAACTGCAGTAAACTCCAAACAGTGAGTTTTGTGGTTGTAGTGCAGCCACACTTGTTGTTTTCTCTGCGTCTGTGTGTACATAAATATGTATTAAAATGGTACTAAATGAGCTTAAGAGAGATCTTGGCTTGTGTGGTTTCCCCTGGGTGGGTAGGAACATGAGGTGCAGCCTGATGTTGGAATCCTGGATCATGGGTATCAGTGAATTACCTCAGTTACAAAACACCACTCTGGGTGCCTTTAGTCTGCTCGGGTCTCCTCTGAAATTCCTACTGTAAAAGAAGCTACTAAATCATGATTTATAAATTCACTTAAAGTATTCTAAATCTAGTGCTAATGTGAGACTCCTCCGCCAAGGAAAGACTTATTAAACAAACGAAATCTTAAATGAGAAGACAGCAGACAAGAGATATATTTTCTCATACTTGCATGACAGAACATATGGGAATGATGGAAACACTGAAACTTTTGTTCTTTAAGCCTCTGTATTGAAGGGATGGCAAGGCTTTCATCCTTCCTTTGGAAAAGGAACCCAAGGTCTTGCAGTGGATGGCTGGAATGCGTTTTAATAATGTAGTTATATATAGCTATTTTAAAAGGGCTGCTGATATTTTCGTTTAGCCCTGCGCAGACATTGCTGGTCCCACCTCCCCAAAATCCATCCAAATGAAGATTCCTCCCAGGGAAAAGGGGCCAGCACACAAAGCTCTGCCTGCCCACGGAGTGCCCAGGCAGCGCCACCAACTGCACCTCAAAGCCAAAGCCCACAGGCTTTCTGTCCTGGGGCCAAAGGCTGCTGTCCCCTTTGGTCAGCCCCGGGCTACCTTTGCCAGCCCCCTCCGACCCAAAACCCATCCAAATGAAGATTCCTCCCAGGGAAAAGGGGCCAGCACAGAAAGCTCTGCCTGCCCACGCAGTGCCCGGGCTGCGCCACCAACTGCACCTCAAAGCCAAAGCTCCCAGGCTTTCTGTCCTGGGCAAAGGGCTGCTGTCCTCTTTGTTCAGCCCCGGGCTGCCATTGCGGGCCCCCCGGCGCCCCAAAACCCATCCCAATGAAGATTCCTCCCAGGGAAAAGGTGCCAGCACCCAAAGCTCTGCCTACCCACGTAGAGCCCGGGCTGCGCCACCAACCTAAACTGAAAGCCAAAGCCCACATGCTTTCTGTCCTGGGGCCAAAGCTGACT